ACTCAGCAGTCAGGGTTAAACACCATAGGGTAGGGCCAAATAATTCCTGGGATTGGAGCTATGTTTCCCCTCAGGCTGCTGCTTCTCGGAGGGGAATTTTCTGCATGAGCATGATGACTGCTGCAGTATGGGAATGACTCAGCACCAGAATCCCAAGGGCTAATGTCTCAGTTCTCTCCCAAAGCCTCCTCATCCCTAGTCTCTCCTCAGGTGCCTCCACCTTTGCCAGAGCTCAGGATAAGTGGTTGCAAATGAAAATTTGTGCATTAGCCCTTACATGGCTCTTTGTGTCTCCAGCCGTCCATCTCCAGCAGAGAGCAACCCTGTCTCTTTGCAGCACTGGTTGTTATCTGTGTACTTTTTGGGTTCTCGTGCTCTAGGCTAGGGATCCCAGCTTGGGGTTTTGACCCCACTCTTCTCAGGTAATCCAATTAGTCACTTAATTATCCCTCCGGCGCTACTGCCTGTGGGCATCCAGCCCACCTTCTTGAGTCTCCAGTGCACTCCTTCTCTCTCAGGTTGTACTGAAGCTGATTCTTCTGTCTTTCTGAGGTATAAGGCTTCTCTCTCACTATTGTACATTTGTTTGTTCAGGGTGATTTCTCCACAATTTAGTTGTAATTCCAGATTGGTCCTGGGAGGAGGTCAGTGTGACTTCCATTCATTTTTCCTCCATTTTTCCTCCACCGAGCCATCCATTCTCTATTCTTTCTCATGTATTACTCTCATTCTGTGTTTATTTCCTTTTATGCCCATCATTCTCTTTTCCCTCTACCTACCCTTCCGTTTTCTTTTTTTAAAAGAGTTTATTTAATTTTTTAGAGAGAGGGGAAGACAGGGAGAAAAAGAGTGAGAAACATCAATATGTGGTTGCCACTCAAGCGCCCCCTACTGGGGACCTGGCTTGCAACCCAGGTATGTGCCCTGACTGGAATGTGAACCAGTGACCCTTTGGTTCACAGGCCAGTGCTCAATCCACTGAGCCACACCAGCCTGGGTTACTCTTCCATTTTGTTACTGCTTTTTACCCATCATACCTCCTCATCATCATTCCATCCCTCCAACCACCTCATTCCTCTTCTTCTCTTTATATCCACTGCACTCCATTCTTTCCACAATTGTGTACACCCTCATCTCTTTAAGCTTTTTTCTTTTATGCACTTTATTACAAGAGTGTCTATATCTAGTTCTTTACTTATATTCTATTCTCTCGAAATTCTTCCTCACACATTATAACCACACTTTTGTCCTCCCCAACTCCTTTTAAAAATTTATATCTATTGATTTATTTTTCTTTAAGTGTTGCTTGTCTTATTTTCCTTGCATCACAGAGACAAGAGGGAAGGAGGGAGGGGGGGTGGGGAAAGGAAGGAAAGGGGAAAGTCAAGGAACATATAGCAAGGACTCATGGACAAAACCAAAGGGGAAGAGCTGAGGGAGGGAAGGAGGGAGGGGGCAAGGGAAAGTGGTAGGGGGGAGGCAGAGACAAATGTATTTGAAAAAATAAATTAAAATAAAATTTAAAAAAACCTTAATAGAATACCATAAAAAAATTTATATCTAACCTCATATCCCCTCATGTAGTGTGAAGATAGGTGTCCTTAATTCCTTTGCAAGTTAAACTTTCATTATCATTTTGATATCATCTCCTTATGTTTTTCTCTGAAAACTTGATTTCGGCAAAACCCTGTTTCTACTATATGTTCAATCTTTGTCTTTCTACTAGCCCCCTTCTGCTATCTCACAAATATGTACCAGTCTTTCCATTCAAAATAACATAGGAAATATTTCTTTTACTCCTGGATGTATCTATCATATATCCATCCCTTTCATTTAAAAAAAAAAAAAAACACCTTTATTTATGTATTTATTTATTTATTTATTTACTTACTTACTTATTATTGAATATTGAGATGACATTGTTTCACTAAATCATAGAGTTTTTAAGTGTAAAACTAATAAAAAATCATCTGCACACTACATTGCGTGCCCATCACCCCATGCAAAGTATCTTTTCATCCCTATCTGCCCCCTTTTGCCCACCTCCAACTACCCCCCATCACCTTCCCTCTGGCTATCACCACACTGTTGTCTGTGTGTCATGTATATATGTTTATGGATAAAAGAACATAAGGGGATTAACCAGAAACTATTTTCTATGTTTACTATATCCACTACCTCTATGTCAACTCCCAAAAACTTCACATTACACTGACCACTACATTGAAACAGTGTATGTAAAGAACTCCAATGTCTTCCATGTTACCAAATGTAATACATACTTAATTTTTTTCTTTTATTGATTCTAGAGAGAGAGGAAGAGAAGTATCAATGTGAGAGAGAAACATCAATCAGCTATCTCACCACACGTGTCCCAACTTTGGACTGAAACCACAACCCAGGCATGTACCTTGACTGGGAATCAAACCAGCGAACTTCCAGTTTGCAGGACAATGTCCAACCAACTGAGCCACACTGGCCAGGGCCATACTTTTTAATTCTCTATATTAATTCAGCTCTCTGTAATAGCCAACAATGTTGTACAAATGTATAAATAATAATAAATAGCATGGAATTGCAATAAAACAGGCCAAGGACGAATGCTGACTTGATATTTACCACCCAGGTGGTCTTGGAGAATTTTCTTACCCAGTCTGTCTCAGATTCCTCATCTGTAAAGTGGGAATAATAGTACCTATCCCACAGAGTTATAAAGATTATAAAAGTAAAATCATTAGAAGAGTGCTTTGGACATTGCAGGTACGATATTGATGTTAACTATTGTACTTATTATGCTATGATCAGTATTATTACTATTACTGTCATCTTTTTAACAAATCTTTGCTCTTCATATATTAGTTATAATAGATTAGATTAGTATGCAATAACACACAATCCTAAAATCTCAGTACCCTAAAGCAATAAAGGTTTATTTCTCACTCACACTATTTTTCTCTCTGAGGTTGTGATGAGGGTTACTCTCTTCTATATTATCTTCAATAAGGAACATAGAGTAATAGAGTCAAAAACCACCTGGTCTAATGATACTCACTGTGTCCAGGGGAGAGGAACATGGAAACACATGTACTGGTTCTTAAAATTTTCCTATCCTCCCTCAGAAATAACATGTTATTTTTACTCATATTTGGTAAGACAAAGCAAGTCATTTGTTCTTGCATAAATCCAAGTCTCCAAGGAAGTGCAGTGCTACCAGATACCCAGGAGTCTGGAAATATTAAAAGTAGCAGTATTGACTACCACACTTAGCTTTCAAGACATTAATATCAGTGGTCCTGTGAACACTATCCTTATTTTAAATTTGGTCTCCACAGGTTTCTCTTTCCCCCTTTTGCCTCAATGATAGTGATACTGCATGACTGGATCCTTGGCATGATTATTTTATCACTCTAACAATTTTCCTGAAGTGATCACACTCATGCATATACATATAATATACATATATAATATCCGGGAAGAGATCGATAAAATAAATGTTAATTTTATTTAATTTAACTTTTATTGTTCTTATCTCTAGATTATTTTCCCTTCACCTCTCTATCCTCTTTATTTTTCTCCACCATTCTCTCCTCTCCTCTATTCTCATTTGTCCTCTAGTCAATCAGATTCTCCTATATAAATTCAAATTTTCTCTTAAGTATCCATCTGCTATTCATTCTTCCTGGGCCACCCTCTTGCCTCCCAAATACTTTCAAGAAAAACATCAATAAATCTCAAGTTTAAAGTAATAAAGGACTAGCATATAGCCAAACACATTTCATGTATTTACCACATATTTATCAGGCATGCATTATTTTTTTACTTCATATATTAAAAATAACAAATACATAAATTTTGAATATCCACAGAACCTGCACTAAAGGATCACATTTTTCTATTAAATAAATATTCACTCAGTTACTTAACATTGACACTAATTAATGGGAAAGGAAGCTTCAGGAAGTGGCAGCTGACAGCAGAAGAACCAGAAAAAGCATAAAACAGGAACCAAGAAAGTTTTTAGTGTTGGGACATAGAATCTTATTGAACTAGAAATCCTTTTAAAGTCATTCTTTTTGAAAACATGATTCAATACCTAAAAACTCTAATGATAATAATGAATCATAAAAAGCATAAAATAATGATGTTTTTATGCTTTTGGGGTAGAAAATTATGATATATCTTTTAACCAATTAAAAGATATAATATAAGGTTAAGCAAAAGTAAGCTTACAATTGTGAGTATGCAAGAGTTTATTCTTGTACTATTATTTATTAATTATTATATGGCTTTCCACATGAACAACTGTAAATGCACTTTTGCCCAACCCTGTATAGCATACTTTCTACCCCTCAAAACATAAAAACCAGCACAATTTTATATTTTTCATAAATCATTTTATACTGCTTAAAAGGTAAATTCTTAAGTTCTTCAGAAACTTCACTTATATCAAACTCCTCAGCATTCCCATACAATATGGTATTAAATATATATTGCTGTAATTTTATTGTGTGTAATTTTATTGTATATTGTGTGTGTAACATTGTACATTTCAGAAAATATCCACCATTATCTCATTTCATTATCATAACTCTGCATCACAGGAGTAGTTTGTGGCTACATTTAAATCTAGCCTATTCTGACTGCCACAGTGTTCATACATCTGTATATGACTGTGAATATGTGTATTTAAATGTTCTTGAATTTGTAGATACTTCTGTATTAGTCCACATATGTCTTGGAGTATGCATACATTTATACATCATGAATATATATCTTGTTTATGAGTATGTTCACATGGTTGTTTCTCAATTTATATGTGTGTCTATAATAGATATGTCTGTGAGTGTGTATATCTGAAAATATGTCAGGTAGTATGCACCTATATGTGCATTTATAATTTGTAAACTTGAAAGAATTTTCAATGGATAGCTTAAAGCATGCTGTTTTCAACCTCAGTCCTACCCCCAAGTATACTTTAGATAGGAGTGCCACTTTCTGACCTCATTGTGTAGAGGAGGGTTCCATTGTCCACCAGTCTGAGCAACTTGTTAGGTGTGGTCATGTTATGGGCCACTGATTTCTTGCCATTGTGAAAGAATGTGTCAGGGGTCCAGATCTTACTAGCCAGAAGATTGTTCAGTGGAAGGATCTTCATGGGTCCATCAAATTTCAATCTTTCATCATGCCATGTCTGTCGAAAAAATACATCAATGGTGTACTCCTAGGGATAAAATAAAAAAAAAGAAGAATATTTGAATAGAGTTCTAGTAAGGACCCATAGTGTCCTCAGCAAATTTCCTTCCAATATTGCAAAACCTTGCAATATTTCCTCTGATGCAGAGATGCAGCAGCCTATTAACAATAGTTGTGGATGAGTACAACAAATAACTATGATTGAAAAATGGACATAATTGAAAACAGAGATAATATATACGATCAAGTTTTGCTTAGGAAGGTCACTCCAAATACTGCCCTGGGTATCATAAAAGCTAACCATGAGACCTTGCCTTATAAAAAAGGCAAGAGCACCCTTCTCTATGAAGCACAATCCCTAGTAAGAACAAATTCCTTACATTGTCTATTCTATTAAAAAATCCCATATGAACATGAAAACTCCATATAGCAATCATAAATCCAAAACCTTAAATTTTAAAACTTATTTGAGCCTCAAAATTAGAATGTTTAATGAATTAATATCTTCAATAAATGAGGAACTCCTACAGATAAGATAAAAACACAGAAAGAGGACACTCAAGATGGCAGAGGAGTGATTGGAAGTCACACTGAACTCCTCCCAACACTAGTCTGGATTTATACCTAAATTGTGGAGAAACCTCCTGGAACAAACAGCTGAACAATACAGAGAGAGGAGACATATTACCTGGGACACACAAAATACCCAGCTGTAGCACAACCTAACTGGTAAGGAGTGCTGTAGGGACTTGAGAAGGCAGGCAGGGCACCCATGGGTGGCAGCACCAGAAGGATATTGAAAGAGCCAGTTGGATCCCCCCTGAGAAGACTGGGGTCCAAACCAAAAGTGGGATCTACAGTCTACAGCATCAGAGACCAAAAAGTACACAGATAACAAGGAGCTGCGGAAAGTGGCAGGGTTGTTCTCTGCCAGAGACAGGTAGCTGGAGATGCAAAGAGCCATTTAAAGGGCCAATACATAAATTTTTATTTGCAGCCACTTACTCTGGTCTCTGGCAAAGGCGTGGGCAGAGTGGGCTAGAGATGCCCGAGGAGAGACTGGGGAAGGAGATTTTTGGGAGAGAACTGGGTGGGATCCCTTTAAGGAGTCATCCCCCATAAGGCAGCAGCCATCTTGCTTAGGCAGACCACTCCTCTGAGTGTCAGCAAAGTCAGAGGACACAATAACACTGCCCCCAGGAGGGACTCTTTCCCTCCCTGAGCTGTCTAAGCCTGACTGCTGAAGGCAGAGTGACTACATTAACAGCTGAAGGAGAGAGCCACAGATTGTAGATTCCTGGAAGTCTCGAACAGACTGCCTAGGTCAGACAGGGACAACATCTGAAATCATCAGAAGCAGATCCAGAAAGAAAAACAGCAGTCTCCTACCATAGAAGTTCACACCACAAAGTCAGGAAATCAAGACAGGTCAGTTTAAGTAGCAAAAGCAAAAAAAGAAGTCTCTCACAAATAATGTAAAGACAAAAAAACAAAACAAAACAAAACAAAAAAAAAACGCCTCCCAGTTGAAGGGAAAGGAGGAATCCCCAGAAAGGGAACTAAAGGAAATAGAGGCAAGTAAACTATCAGATATTGAGTTCCAAAAAACGGTTCTAAGGAAGCTCAATGAGCTCAGTGAGCTCAGAGAGAATTACAATAAACTACAGGGAAACTACGAGGAACTTACTGCAAACTCTGTCAGCATGAAAAAGACATAGAAATTATTAATAAGAGATAAGGGGAAATGAAGAATGCAATTTCTGAATTGAAGACCACAGTAGAAGGAATCAAAAGCAGGCAAGATGAAACAGAGGATCGAATCAGTGAGCTGGAGGACAAGGTAGTAAAAAGCTCCCAGAAAGAGCAAAGAAATGAAAAAGGACTGAAAAAGAATGAAGATGCATTTAGGGAAATGCAGGGCAACCTGAAACATAATAATATCTGTATAATATGGATACCAGAAGGAGAAGAGGAGAAGGAAGCAATAGAGAACCTGTTTGAAAAAGTAATTATGGAAAACTTTCCTAATTAGAGGAGAGAAAAAGCCACATAAGGCCAGGGAACACAGAGGGTCCCATTCAAAAGGAACCCAATGAGGCCCACTCCAAGACACATCATCATGAAAATGGCAAATATCAAAGACAAACAGAGAATCATAAAGGCAGCAAGGGAGAAACAGGTAGTAACATACAAGGGGGTCATGGTACAGCTAGCAGCTGACTTCTGAACAGAAACACTACAAGCCAGAAGGGAATGGCAAGAAATATTCCAAGTCATGAAAAACAAAGGCCTGCAACCAAGACTGGGCTCCCTCCCAGCAGGGCTCTCAATTAAAATGGAAGGTGAAATAAGGAGTTTCCCAGACAAAAGGAGGCTAAAAGAATATACCTCCACCAAACCAGCATTGCAAAATATGCTAAAGGGACTGCTTTATGATGAAGAAAAGGAGTATATGAATATACACTTCCTATCACAGTAGCCAATACTTGATAGTACCAATATTTTAATACTTATTTATCTGATTATGATAACGATGTGTTATTTTAATTGTTCCTTTATTATTTGTTGAAACTAAACCAGTTTTTGTATATTTGTTGTCAATTTCTACTCTTTTAAAAAATCTTTATAAATAAGCCAGGGGGCGAAAGACAAATACCATATGATCTCACCTATAAGCGGAACCTAACCAACAATTCAAAGATTCAAGGAAAATAAGACCAGCAACACTGAAAGGAAAAGAAATCAACAGAGACAAGAGGGAAGGAGAGAGGGGGGTGGGGAAAAGGAAGGGAAGGGGAAAGTCAAGGAACACATAGCAAGGACTCATGGACAAAACCAAAGAGGAAGAGCTGAGGGAGGTAAGGAGGGAGGGAGCAAGGGAAAGTGGTGGGGGGGGGGGCAGAGACAAATGTATTTGAAAAAGTAAATTAAAATAAAATTTTTACAAAATTGAAACAGAAAAAAAAATCTTTAAATGACTTTTTGGTATTCTTTATCCATTTTTTGATTAAAGGTCTGTAGAATTTCCCCCCCAAAAAAACTATTAACTCTTTTTTGATGTGTGATAAATACTTTCCTATTCTATTATTTGTCCTTTAACTATTTATATGTGTATTACTATATAGTCTTAAATGCTTAATATATCTATATTGTCAATATTTTACTTTATAGCTTCTGGGTTTGAATAGTTTACTTCAGGATAAGAAAAATATGTTTTTATTTTCTCCTAAATCTCCTTAGATTGTACATATTGATTTTTAAGTCACCTGAATATTTCTTGTATAATGTGTCTAATAGGGCTCTACATTTGTTTCATTTCAAGTAATAGTGGTCCATGTACCTTATTTGTTGAATAAGCCTTATTTTCCCCATTGACCTGAAATATCAATTTAATCATATATTACACTATTAGACAGATATATATGTATGTTTCTAGAATGATCATTATATTTCATTGATCTACTTGAAAAAAACACAAAGAAAAAAATGGATAAATGACATGAACAGGAATTTCATGAAATTGATATAAATGGCTAATAAACATGAACATTTTCAAAATTGCTGTTAATATCAACACAAATTAAAATAATAATAAATGTTACAGTTTTGGTAACAGCAGACTAAATTATGTACATATGCCTTCTTATAGTTTTTAATTATAAACTTTAAATAAATATATAGATTAATATAAGGTTACATAGAATGAGATTATTTGAAAACAATGGAAAGTGAGTGAAAGCAGACAAAACTTGAAGAAAGTTTATCCTTGAAAGATGGTAAGAGCAACAGATTAAAATTATGCTTGCGGCTTTTCTTTCTTGAAGGCACTCCTCCAAACCTATAACTCAAATGCTATGATAACAGCCTTACTGGCACAAAGTTGCAGATAATCTGGAAATTTAGAGTTGGGAGTCCTAGAAGCAAGAGAGCCACCATAGAGATGGTACTCCAAATCTGAGCATATACTCTGTCCCAAATCCTAGCTAACAACTACACTATATAAACATGAGGAAGACTGCATGTTTAGAAAGTGCAGACAGAAACAACAGGGGAGTCTTCCACTAAATCACAGTTAAAAGAACTGTTCTGTGTGATTATTGGGAATTTGGCAGAAATCAGAAAACTTATTGGTTTAATATCAAAGAGGATATAGCTCAAGGCTAGCCCCAAACCTGAAAATTCCGGCGGAAGGCCCAGGAAGCAAGACAACTACTGAGTAGGTTAGTCTCAAAATCTGAGTACAAACTCTGCCCAAATCCTTGACTGACCACTAAACTACAAAGTTTGCCATGTATAATGTAAACTTTTTGCCCACATTTTTGAGGGACAAATAAGCATGCACATTATACATGGGTAGTACTAATTCCATATCTATATAAATGCTTTCTAACTTTTAATTCTTTTATTTATGCTTATGCATTATAAGTATAACTCTAGAATGCAATAAAAATATCTATAATACCTTGTAATACAATAATCAGTTTTGTTTCTAAATATAAGTAAATGAAAAATTGATTTAAAAAATTAAACAAAAGAGTTATTTTCCTGAAAGTTTGGCAAAATAGGTTGATAAGGCATGGGGATACATCTAGGTTGCCAGAGAAAATAAATAAACACTCAGAAGCTGCTTAAAATCCTTTGGCTTAAAATCTATTAATGGCCTCCAATCATACCTGGAACGAATTCTAATATCCTTCCCTTGCCTAGCAGGAACTTCTTAAACTGGTTTCTGCCTTCTTCTCTGAGATCTTACTTTTTAAATGTTTTATTTTAAATTATATTTATTTGGGGCAATGTTGGGTAATAAAATTATATAGGCTTGTAGTGTTTATTTCTATGATACATGATTTATATGTTGTATTGTGTGCTCCCAACTCAATGGAATATTACTCAGCCATAAGAAAAGATGAAATACTGCCATTTGCAGCAACATAGATGGACCTTGAGAGTATCATGCTATGCAAAATAAGTCTAAACTCTTCTTTAACCATTCTTCCATCTACAGATTACCCAATCTAGCTTTTCTCT